GATATCACTAGCGTCCAGAGTGAGAGTTACATAATGTGGACCTGCCCACCCCAGACTCTTGTTGTATTTCTCCTACCACAAACACACACAGCATTGCCTTTGTGCAAAATAACTATTTCTAAAATCTGCATTTTCTTTATTTCTTATATGCTACATTGAAAACCAAGGTGGCTAGCTAGTAATACATTGCTGCAAACTAATGCTATCTAAGTTAAGGTCCTATCAGCATTTCTCACTGCCCATCTGCTCAGATATGTCCTCATCTTTCCTAAGCAGCTTTTTCATTCTTATTTTCTTGGTGCTCCCTTCTTTGCAGTTTTTGCTGCTGCAGTCCATCTTCACATCAGTAATGCAAAACAAATAATAACCTCTGTAGAGCACTGCTTGTTATGTCAGATTCACATTGTCGTGCTGAATTTGATACGCCAATCTCTCAAAGCTGATGTTCTTTTTTCTGTTCACCTTTAAATACTGCAGCAATTACACACTAATGCCTGTAAAGGCGTCTGAATATAACTGCTGCATCATTAAAGTGGAACGAGAAACAAGAATAAGAAGCTAACTTCAGCTTTATCTTATCTTTGTCCACTGTACTATCAGCAAACTGGTGCTGCACCTCTTGATATGGGGCCGCTGGTTCAACCCTTAAATTACTACAGATATATACTTGAATGTAACATTAGTACAATCAGTACATTAGCTCATAGTAACCTGCCCAAAACGCTACGGGCCCACTGGGAATTCTCCGAACTCTCCTGATTATCACTGTCACACTATGCCAAAGCTGTGTCAACTAATCATACTGATCTCCACAGATAACTCTGTGCTAAGTACACACAGTTCACAGGCAAATCTACCTAATGTTAGTTATCCAAGGTAACATTTAGTCTACTTAAACTATAAGCAGGATGCTCCAAGTGTATTTTTTACGTTAAACTGAACTTTTTACCCACTGAATCTACATTTATTTATGTGTATTTTGAAAAAGTATACTTCATTTAAGTGTGCTAATTTGGCATTGATTTACTTTATAAAAAATATATATTGTGCTTAATTTATGATTAAACTATACTTTTGCAAAGTGTCCTAGGAGCATTACTGCTGTGTAAAAACCGTACCTTAGTAAAGTGGAAAAAAAAGGGGTTAATTTTGAGTTCATCAAATTGTACTTACAATGAATTGTGCTTTTATGCTTAAACTGTACTTAAAAAAAAGAGTATTTTTCGTGTTAAAAATGTGCCTAAGTGAAGTATACTTCAAAAGACATATTTTGTGTTGAAAATGTGCTTACAATGAACTGTGCTTATTTTATACTAAAACTATACTTAAACAAAGTGTTTATAAGCAATATTATTTCTGTTTAAAACCTAGAGTTCAGTGTGGTGTGCTTCAGGAGGTGTTCTTTTTTGGCAGTATTAGTGATAAATATGATATCTGGCAATACTAAATGTATAAATACACTTCAAAACAGCTTAAAAATTATCTTCCTTGTGTTAATTTGATCATTTTATGAGAGAATTTTTATATCAAATATAGGTCTAACAGTAGAAAGACATCATGTCAATGAGATGTACTTGCATCAAAGAGAATTCCTCTGTAATGTGTTGTGTTATTCAAGTTAATAGATTTTACACCAAAAATTATATCTTGACTTTCCCTTGTGGGGAAAAAAGTATGCTTAAGTAGTGCTTGAATAGTTATATACTGTAATTATACACATAATGGCAGCAGCTCACTTACATGAACAGCTTAAATATAGAATATAAACTCACGCTATCTCTGACCGCTGGATAGGCTACCACCACATCATGAATGACACACAAGAGAACAAAAATCTCTGTTTTTTATTCAGTATGCTTGACTCGCCTTGTCAGCATAAGACGTAACCAATGACTATGCACAACGCTAAGAATTTAAACAGCATCTGAAATATGAAAAAATGACGCTGGAGCAGCGGTAATCAACAGCCTATTTTAAATAACATTCAGGCTCTGAGCAGAGCACAGAAATAGACGTATCTGTCTGTAAACAATACATTTACATGTTTGGTGAGACACAAAAAAAAGAATTTGCATTTTTTGTCTCCTGATAACTCATCCCTCCAGTGTAGGGCTAACATATGAATAATGAAGCACAAAACTCATTAATTGGAAATGTCAAGGGTTTTGTAAAAATGAGAGAAGCACTTAGTAAAGCATGCAGTAACAAAGTATTGGGTGCCTATTTGAGTTTGGGCTTTGTCTGGCAGGGGGAATTCTCAACTTGCAGTATAAGCAGCATTATTTTGCGCTTTTCTTACTAATCCAGGTCAAGACAGAGTCATCAGACTCCAGTACAGGACCAGTACTGAGTGAAATAGAATGCAAACTAGAATAGTATTGCTGTGAGAAGTGCACATTTTAGAACGGTCACTTTGTAAAGAGTTTGCCAATGTAATATTAACTAGCTTGGGAGCTATAAAGCTAGCATTATCAGCATATATGCCAGCAGCTGTAACACAAATGATTTTACACTCTCAGATCTTTACAGATGATTCTGCACGCCCTATATTGTAGACATTTGTCGACATCAACTTAAAGTATGGTATTATGCTAATAAAAGCCCTAGAGTAATTTAGACTTACCTAGCAAGCTTACTAATCTATTTGTCTTCATTGATTTTCTCATGTTATACTGGTAGACACAGTATGTCTGTCACATCTGATGTCAAACATTTGTTAGAATCCTCAACACAACATGCCAGTTGTGCAGCATAACTTCAGTGGATAACTTCTTTAGGCAGGAACTCTACTGCTATCATAATAAGAGTATAATATATCTGTTTAAATGTAAGATAACTTAATTTGCTTAAATCCAGTTTACTTAAAGTACAATTCCTAAAAATTGGGCCAGTTTGTCAAATGCTAATTAAAAATAGAAATCTGTGATTTGTAAATCCCACATATACACAATGTTTGATATTTTACCTTATAAACGTTGTTAGATTTTTTGTGTGAGGGTCAAAAATGTGTGTATTTTGATGCACTGTAGAGATGGAAATAGCCAAAACTCCTTGCAGTTGCTTGTTGAGAAATGACATTATTATTATTGTTGTTGTTGTGTTCTTTTTAACACTTTAAGGATCCTGTTGTGAGTAAAGGGTTGTCATGTTTGAAGTCCTCTATTGGTAACCTAACAAACACCTACACCACTGCACTGCTGGCCTACACTTTTAGTCTGGCTGAAGAGCATGACACGCGAGAGAACCTGCTACAGAAATTGGATAGCGTAGCCATTTCAGGAGGTATGAAATATATTTTATACCATGGATCTTTAAGCTCATATTTTAGTACTAATATAATACCATGGTTTTAGCTTATACTGATGTTCATAGGGTTATGATTTTTCTCTTGTAATCTCCAGGTTACTGATTTGACTATAATTTGTAGAGTAATCTTTTTGATCTAGTTTTATTTCTTGTGCTGTTATATATAGGCGGCCACCTTCACTGGTCTCAGTCAGCATCAGATGACTCTGACTCCTTGGCAGTGGAGATCAGCTCCTATGTTTTGCTAGCTGTTCTCACTACAGCTGAAGTCACTGCTACTGATTTGGGCTATGCTAACAGGATTGTCAGCTGGCTGGTGAGGCAGCAGAATCCTTATGGAGGCTTCTCCTCCACGCAGGTAATTGCCCACCATTTCCGCTACCTTTTTTCTTGGTCTGGCTACATATACGTAAAATATTTAATGTTGTGCAATTGCTAATTGTTTTTGTGTCTGGATCAGGACACAGTGGTGGCCCTCCAGGCTCTGGCTCTGTACTCCACCAAAGTGTTCAGCTCTGATGGCTCCAGCGAAGTAACTGTGCAGTCAGCAGATAAAGAGAGTCACCACTTTGATGTGAATGAGGACAACAAGTTATTGTACCAGGAGAGACCACTGCAAGTTGTTCCAGGCAAATACAGCATTTTGGTGAAGGGCTCCACCTGCGTGTCTGTGCAGGTAAGTGTGTGTATAGCCCTTGTATGTGTCCAGGGGTGTAGGAGTGAGTTTGGCATTGGGGGGCACACATTTGCTACTCTAACCTCTTTGATTTTGAAAATGCACCTCAATAACAAACCTTAACAAACGCCCATCATCACCCAACACACGACATGGCATTAAATGGGAAGTTTGTCTGATTTGCTGGCAAATGTGCTACCCTCTGTGTTGCACTTATAAAATAATAAAATAATTTTTCTTTCTCTCTGCGGTATAATTTTCGGGTGGGACAAATGCAGCTGTTTCCAGAATCCCCTGGTTCCAATGTTTGTGTCCACTGGATATCAAACACCAACAAAGACTATACATCAGAAATGAGACTAACAAAGAGTAAAGCTGAGGTGGCCTCTGGTAGCTCTGCTGAGCTCACCCTTCCTACTTTCACTCTGTACATCACCAGAGCCATTATGTAAGCTTTGCCTGCAGCTAAACTAAATCTCCTCTGACCGTACGTTTACTTCTTAGGTCTCACTTGAAGGCCAGGTACACCAGCTGGGCCTTGTGCAGCGTGGCACTTGGTACATCTGTGGTCCATAAAGACATTCTTCAAGATTGAGTATGAATTCTCACATATGGCTGTGGTAGCACTAAACTGGTAATCAGGACACTTGGCATGGCTTCCAGTGTTTAATTTATTTATTTTTTTTGATTTTTACCCAATTTTCTCTCCAATTTAGTCGTTTCCAATTCCACCTGCTAGTTGGGACTCCCCCAATCACAGGATATTACCGGCACTAGGAGGGTGAAGGCTAACGCAGGCTTCCTCCGAGACCTGTGACCGCCAAAGCTTCTTTTCGAACTGCCGCTAACGCAACGTCATTGGACGGCCGAACGCACTCGGAGGAAAGCGCCAACCGCCAGATCTGTTATGTCAGCTAACAGATGCCTGCGCTGACTAGCATCACGTTGAGTGATGGGGGGAGAAGGGGCGCCATCCTACCCACCCAGAGAGAGCAAGGCCAATTGTGCTCTCTCGGACTCCCGGCTACGGATGGCTGTAGCATCACCAGGGATCGAACTCGCGATCTCCTGATGATAGGGCCAACGCTTAGACGGTTGTGCCACTTGGGAGCCCTAGTGTTTTATTTTAAACATTTTTCCAAAAATGTTTTAACCTCAGTTTTAATAGGTAATTTTGGGCACCTATAAGATCCTCTGGGAGTTGGCATAAAGCATAAAAAATAAAGGCTGCTTCAGTTTGCTTAACATTACCCATAGATTTGCTTGACATTACCCATAGATTTAAGAGACCTACATATCAAAACAGCATATAGGAAATATACAGAAATAACCTTGCTGTGTTTCTAAGCTAACAGTAACACTTTAAAATCAATTCTGTAACTAACTAGAAGCTGTTGTAAAGATTCTAGAACTAGATTAATGTGCTGTGCTCTCTTTATACTATCTTGTCTTTGTTAGGAGCATTTTAAATGAACTGCAACTTTTTAATTGTCTTTTAAGGAAGTTCAGTTAGGAGAACACAAAGTATCAGTCCTATTAGAAATAAAAGCATGGATATGTTTCTTTAGGTTTTGTTGATAATAAACCTTTACTTCTGGCTATATTTTAACTCCTTAAATGGCCAAGGCCAACCAATTATTTATGTGTTCCATACATTGTACCTCTATCTATAATATTTGGTGAGAAAGACAAGTATATTTGCATAGCATCTACACAAATGGCACACAGTCTTGTGGGCTTTGAATAAAAAGGGCCCAGAAACTGGTCACTGGGGAATAGATTCATAACTGCCAGTTGCAACAAAGTTATACCACCTTTGTAAGGCATGAACCATGAACCGACATTTCCAGAAAGTCCTACATAGATTTTCAACCTGGCTAGAAGTATTTTTAAGATCTACAGTGTCTGTAATGATTTTTTGCCAGAATTAATATTCAGACTTGTCATTTCAAATCATATAAGGGCTATCTCAGTACTGTAGTGGGATCTAAAACCTGATTGAAATGTGTTAGTGAATCCATTTACATTTACTGTTTCTGTTGTTTTCTCTGTTTTATCCCCAACTGCAGATGGCTTTTTTCTACAACATCCCCACACCTGCTGAAACCAGTACACTGAGCATCAAGGCTAAGACTGAGGGACGTTGCTCAAAATCACTTGCACAGTTTCTATCCATCAACTTTACAGTCATGTAAGCATTCGTTTGTGATTCACGAGAAAAATACATAGCTAGAAACCCAATATTAGGAAAATTAAAAATAGTACATTTTAAGTCAGCAGAATTCTTATAAATAATAACCATTTTTTTTATTATTTTGCTGCTTAGTAACACACATTAATGGTATTATTGCTCATGCCTGAAGTAAGTAACTTTATTTTCAGATATAATGGAACATTAAACAGCACCAATATGGTCATAGTAGACATAAAAATCTTGTCAGGATTCACAGCAGATCCCAGTGCTGTAAGTAGCAGTGTTTCATATACACTTAGTTACATATATAAATTTAGATATGTTTTCTTAGATTGTTATAAAATCATCACATGTAAGAACAAGTAATAACATTTCTTTTGTCAGCTGAAATATATGGCACTTGTGGAGCGAGCTGAATCCAAAGATGACCATATTATCATGTATATAAAAGAGGTGAGAGAAAAGATTAATAATCATGAATTATTGAGCTCATTCAAATGCAATAATCAACATGTGTAGCCATATATTTGCATTTTGTTTTAATTATAGGCTTTAAGAAAGGCGGTAATTATGTTTAAGAACGGCAGACTGGGCAGTCGTCTACATTCACTACGCGTACACAAAAAGCCTAAATTAATGTAAATCATTAATTTAATCTGTGAGAGAGCTTAGGATCTGTAATTGGCTAGATCTAATATGACTATAATTGACTTAAAAGATAAATATCTAAAACATGACAATATAAAACTGAAATGAAAATTATAAGTAAATAAAAAAGCCTAAATTCACAGAGGACTCACTGTCCAAAAGAAGAATAGATAAGGAATTTTTTACATTACACTGTTGGGTTTGTGTTCAACAGGTCCCAAGAAATATTCCTATGAATTATCAGCTACATCTTAAACAGGCGCTTCCGGTCAAGAACCTCAAACCAGCTGTGATCAAAGTTTATGATTACTACCAAACAAGTAGGATTTTCCAAGTCTGTGTTGTTCCAAGACTATAGCTGCAACTGCGTTATTGTTTTGTACTTATCTTTAACATCTCCTTCATTCAGGTGACCAGTCTGAGACAGAGTACTCCTCCCCCTGTGAGTGAGCTCTCAAATCTGCAGCCTCAAAAAAAGGAAACACATGGGTGTTTGTTTTTGTTGTGACTTACTTTTTGTTTTGCATGTTCTTTATTAAAATGAATATAAACTTTAGACAGAAATTCAGTTTTTCTTTTTTTCATCTTTGCTGTCATCTATTAGAATTATTTTGGTGAAATGTTTTCCTTAATGACCTGTTTTAATTTAATGTAATAAATTGGAAAATATTAACTATTAATATTAATGCACAGAAACTCCACAGGGCTCCCACAGAGCAGGTATTATTGGGTGGTGGATCATTCTCAGCACTGCAGTAACACTGACGTGGTGGTGTGTTAGTGTGTGTTGTGGTGCGAGTGGATCAGACACAGCAGTGCTGCTAGTGTTTTCAAACACCTCACTGTCACTGCTGGACGGAGAATAGTCCACCAACCAAAAATATCCAGCCAACCTGTGGGCAGCGTCCTTTGACCACTGAAGAAGGACTAAATGATTAACACAAACTGCGCAGCAACAGATAAGCTACCATCTCTGATTTTACATCTACAAGGTGGACCAACAAGGTAGGCGTGCCTGAGTGGACAGTGAGTGGGTGTATAAAGACTTCAGTAGCACTGCTCTTTTGCTTTTAGCAGCTAGGTTAGCACAGTAGCTTTTAGTAGCTTATACAGTAGCTTTTACCAGCACTGTAACGTTAGCTCAAAGTGTTTAGCAAAGTAGTTGCTATCTAGAAATAATACACTGTTATTTCTTTTAATGTTGATGTAGAAGAAAACCAGTAATTCAAACCAACAATGAAAACTATCTGCTTCTAGGTTTTGTTTGAAAACAGTTCTGGAAGTTACAGTGATGGGGTTTGGTTTAGTCCTCCTGCATGTTAGCATAAACTGCTAACCTAAGGGAAAATGTAGCGTTTCTATGCTGAGAGAGCTTAGGATCAGTAATTAAATCTAGATCTAATATGACTTTATAATTGACTTAAAAGATAAATATCTAAAACATGCAAATATAAAACTGAAAATTAGAAGTGAATAAAAAGAGGAAGTGTTTCGATTAATAGTTTAATAGGAACAACAGTAAATTACTATTTACAATGCTTATGTGTAATAGTGTTTTTCCAAGATAAACCACTGAGCTGCATGGCAGGCTGTAAGCTTAGTCGATTTCCATAAAAGTTGTCATTTTTCCACTAATTCTATAAATTTGAGAGATGTTTATAAAAGTTTACCCAACCATATAGTCATTTTTAAGAAACTTCACTGAGATCCTCCAGCACTGGACATTCAGATCTAAACATGTATGTTTGTTTTCTTATATTGCTCCTTTATGTAACTTTATACAGTATCGTATGTACGTAGGACATACAGTGTCCTCCATAATACAGTACACTCCTGCTAAAGATGAGTTAAAAGAATTATAAGAAATTTTGATGTTCAGCTTAATTTTACACTGCAAAAAGTAGAAAACTCCAACCATTAATTGAAGTAAATTTATACTGATGAAAAAAATCGATCATTTTCAGTCAAGAAATATTATTTTTACAAAACCATATGTGTCACAATTATTGGCACCTCCAAAAATTCCTACAAACACTTTGCAGCTATAACAGATTCAACTCTTCTGGGAAGGCTTTCCACAAGGTTTAGGAGTGTGTTTATGGGGATTTTTGACCATTCTTCCAGAAGTGCATATGTGAGATCAGACACTGATGTTGGACGAGAAGGCCTGGCTCGCAGACTCCACTCTAATTCATCCCAAAGGTGTTTTATCAGGTTGAGGTCAGGACTCTGTGCAGGCCAGTCAAGTTCTTCTACACCAAACTCGCTCATCCATTCTTTATGGACCTTGCTTTGTGCACTGGTGCGCAGTCATGTTGGAACAAGAGGGGGCCATCCTCAAACTGTTCCCACAAAGTTGGGAGCATGAAATTGTCCAAAATCTCTTGGTCTGCTGAAGCATTAGTTCCTTTCACTGAAACTAAGTTCCTTTCACTGGAACTAAGCAGCCGAGCCCAACTCCTGAAAAACAACCCCACGCCATAATCCCCCCTACACCAAACTTTACACTTGGCACAATGCAGTCAGACAAGTACCGTTCTCCTGGCTACCACCAAACCCAGACTTGTCCATTGGGTTGCCAGGCGGAGAAGTATGATTCGTCACTCCAGAGAACATGTCTCCGTTGCTATAGAGTCCAGTGGCGGCGCTTTACACCACCGCATTCGATGCTTTGAATTGCGCTTGGTGATATAAGGCTTGGATGCAGCTGCTCAGCCATGGAAACCCATTCCATGAAGCTCTCTATGCACTGTTCTTGAGCTAATCTGAAGGCCACATGAAGTTTGGAGGTCTGTAGCGATTGACTCTGCAGAAAGTTGGCGACCTCTGCGCACTATGCGCCTCAGCATCCGCTGACCCCCAACCACTTCGTGGCTGAGTTGCTGTCGTTCCCAGTCGCTTCCACTTTGTTATAATACCACTGACAGTTGACTGTGGAATATTTAGTAGTGAGGAAATTTCACGTCTGGACTTGTTTCAAAGGTGCCATCCTATCATGGTACCACGCTGGAATTCACTGAGCTCCTGAGAGCGACCCGTTCTTTCACAAATGTTTGTAGAAGCAGTCTGCATGCCTAGGTGCTTGGTTTTATACACCTGTGGCCATGGAAGTGACTGGAACACCTGAATTCAATGATTTGGATGGGTGAGTGAATACTTTTGGCATTATAGTGTATTTATATATGAGGTGACACAGAGGTTAAATTCCCTTAGTCATTCTTCAACATGGGAAAGACAAGAAAATACACAATTCAAATAAGGGAAAAGTCTGTTGACCTTCTTAATAGCTACTCACCTGAAAATGCCCATATCTACAGATAGGATGATAATTAAAAAGTTCCAGGCAACTGAAACTGTGACAAACTTGCCTGGGTGAGGACCCAAGTTTGTTTTGCCACCATGCACAGTAAAGAGGATGATGAGAGGCAAAATTCACTATTGGAAGGATACAAAAAAAGTAGCATCTTGGGATCACTAAGTCTCCAAAACTATCAACAGACGCCACCTCCATGGCAACAGATTATTTGGAAGTCATGCCAGGAAAAAGCCTTTCCTGTCATCTAACCACAAAGTGCGTGCCTGGGAGTTTGCTAAAAGTTTTCTGGGACTTACGATTGGAACCATGTTCTGTGGTCACATGAAATGAAAAATTGCGCTTTTTGGCAACAAACACTTGGTGGGTTTGGGATAAAAAGAACGATGACTACACTGAAATGAACCTGATGCCCACTGTTGGGTGTGATGGAGGGTCTGTGATGTTGTGGGGCTGTTTTTTCCTCCAAAGGCCCTGGTAACCTCATGGCATCATGGACTATATGAAATACCAGAACATTTTAAATCAAATGCCACTCTCTGACAAGAAACTAAAAATAGGCCATCACTGGATCTTCCAGCAGGACAATGATCCAAAACGTATGTCCAGATCAACATAAAAATGTTTTCGTGAGCACAAAATCAAGCTTCTGCCATCTCAGTCCCCTGATCTAACCCCCATAGAAAACCTGTAGGGTGAGCTAAAGAGGGTAGTGCCTAGGAGGAGAGGACCTAGGTCCCAGCTCTGTTTTCTTCAACCTTATGAGATGTTACAGGAGATGTTACAGTGCTGTTTTATTGGCAAAGGGAGATTGCACTAAGTGTAAAATGCAGGGGTGCCAATAATTATGGCACATGGTTTTGTAAAAAAAATTATTTCTTGATGAGAGATTTTTTTTTTTCTTAGAATAAATTTTCTTCAATTAAAGGTTGGAGTTCATTATTTTTAGTGTGAGATTAAAGGGGAACCCCACCGATTTTACAAAATTACTCAATCATTCAAAGGTTTAGATGTAAGCAAAATCATTCAGAGTAGGTCGGTGTGAAATGCGCCTTTCTAGAGAAATTTTGAGTTAGAATTGTTCACCATTACAGTACTAGGAACCAAATGTCTGAAGCATTTAATCACTCCAAAAGCTACATCCCATTAAGTTATTATACAAAATGGTTGTGAATGTGTTGCTTGATACCTGAGACATTATTTTGTAATAGTTTTGTTAAAAAGTTTTGGCTTAAAACAAATTTTTAATATAAATTATTACTCCAGGATTAGTTTGTGTTTCCTGTCAAAACCACATTCTCAGTTGAGATCAATGCACAAGCTAACATGCTTTTATAGTTACTAGCCTGTAGCTACAGCCGTTCCACACGGCTAACACCAGCAGCAGCTTTTGTTTAGTTTATTTTTACAGTTTTCTTACATATTTTGGAAGATGGCAGAATATGTGGAAGAATTTGTGTGTAGCTTCAAAACAATTAGCCACAACTTCAGGATTTCTGGTACTTGTAACGGCAACTGAAAAGAATGCATCGTACTGTATTTTCTACATTTATTTTTGCATCCTGGTATAGCGCAGTTCACCACCACTCTAAACAATTACCCAGCAAGGTGCAGCTGTGATCTTTTTTATTTATTTATTTATTTTTTTTTTAACCATTATCAGTGTGACATATAAAAACTTCTAAGACACATGTAAGTTGACTGGTCATTTTAGATAGCAGATTAAATGGTGATATTTGTTGTGTGGACCTATGGACGTCTGGTTCCTAGTACTATAATGGTAAACACTTTTGACTGTAAATTCTTCTAGAAAGGCACATTTTACACCAAACAACTCTGAATGATTTTGTTTACATCTAAGCCAGATATAAAGAATGATAATTCGCCTAAAGAGGAATTTCTTATAACCCTTTTTACTCATTTTTACCAGGTGTGCCAATAATTGTAGAGGGGACTGTATATGTCTGACAGTACATTAATTTAATATGCGTTGTATATGTTTTGGTACCATATACTGAGTATCTTATATTCAACTTACATAATATAAAACAAGTACGATTTTTCCAAAACTTTTTCATATGTGCAATCACATAATACATACCGCCACATCCTACAGATTCTTACTTCACAGCATCAGGTGAATGTATAATACTCCTGACTGCAAAGTATACACAACGTCTTGTTCAACCTTTAGTCATTTCCCCACTTGAGTAATGCATTTCCCTCCTCAGAGACCTTCTCTCATGCCACTTTTCCACTACAGAGAATCCGAATGCTGAGGCTTATCTGGTCCAATACTTCCCAAAGTTCTCCCATGTGACTCCTCTGCTAAGATCATTTCACTGGCTTCCTGCAAAGAGAAATCAAATACAAGGCTCTGATTTTCAATTTTCGGGCTTTACACCACACCTGCACCTTGGTTCAGAACTACATGCTTGTACAGCAACATAGCAACAGAGTCACTAAGTTCTTTTAAAGATTCATCACTTCAGACAATATCCAGGTTAACACTTTTCTGATCTGCACTTCATTTGTAAATTAGAGTGTCATCTGAATCATAGGTGCAAGCAATTCATCCTCAAGGTTTATACTTGTGTTTATTTATTTAGCCAGATCAGGCTCTGCGTCAGGGGGTCATTTAGTGGGGCAGTGCCCTACTGACCAATCGTCATGTCTCACTAAACCCACTACGCTTTACACAGACTTTGATAGTGGCATATGGTAAAAAAAACAAAATGAAAGTAAACTTTGCGCTCAGTGTAAAAACTATATCACATAACACATTTTGTAAGTGACTCTGGACAAGAGCGTCTCCTGAGCAAATAAGTGTTTGTCATTAAAGAGACAGTTCAGAGTGATTTTTCCTCAGCCATTACCCATATCTTTATGACATGACATGTAAACTTCATTTGTAATGAGCAGCATGTTAAAACGTCCCTTAATAATTAAAAGATTAAAAGATTAATTAATAGTCATTATTACACAAGACATCATCTCTATATTTTTTATATTATAGAATTATATATTAATTGTGTAACATTATTAAGACTATGTATTCGCAAAAAGTACAAAGAACAATAAATAGACGATACAACAACAGACAACAAACAATAAATAAACTAGACACCAAATTGTGCTGGTGCATAGAAAGTGTGTACATGTGTGCAAAATATATGCTGCAATTTTCAGAGGCCAACCCAACCCAAACCAGTCTGTGAGAACTTCCATGTCTTCTTTGTAGGCTTCCTCGTTGTTGTAGGGCCTGATACTGTTGTATTGTCAGCAAGCTTGATGATTGTGTTGGAGTTGTGCTTGGCAGTGCACTTGTATGTTTACAGGGGGTAGAGCATGAGTGATAAGATGCAGCCATGTGGACCACCTGTGCTGAGAGTGAGGGTGGGAGAAGTGTGACCGCCCCTCCTAATAGACTAAGGTCTGCCGATGAGGGAATCCAGAATCCAGCTCCAGACTGTGACTAAATCATTGACCTTAAAACAAATACAAAGTATAATATATTAATATAGCAAAGAAAACCAATATTAAAGCATTTTATATTACACAAGCAATAACATCATATATTTATATATTTCAAATTGCTGAAAATGGCCAAAGCATGCATTTTTAAATAATTATAACAAGAAAACAGACTGGCAGACTCACAGTTTCCTATGAATCTGTCATTAATTTTCCATGCGAACTGCACTTTCTGCCAAGTTTGTAGTCACTAATGGTCTTATTAATTTTATGCTAGAATAGTTTTTTATCAGGAGTGCTTTTTATGACCATATACTACACATTATTGTTGTCATATTCGCTTAAGTAGTCTTGGCTTAAAGTAGTCTTCATTGCCAAATGTTAAGTAATGAAGTACATTTGAAAACGTGTATCTATTAATTTTGTTTTCCTCTGAGTGAAAAAGGGAGGCAAAATCTGTCTCAAGCATCAACCAGAGATCTTGCATTCCAAAAACTATATTTGTTTCACATCAGAGATGTGATTCTCTTTATCTGACTCCATAGTCACTGTGCTGAAACCTTTGGTGGAGTACAGAGCCAGAGCCTGGAGGGCCACCACTGTGTCCTGATCCAAACATTAAAAAAAAGAAAAAAAGCAAATTTACATTATATTTTTTATGTATATGTAACAGACCAAGAGAAAAGGTAGAGGAAATACTGGAGGAGCGCCTGGGTTTAGGAGAAGCCTCCGTATGAATTCTGCTGCCTCACCAGCCAGCTGTCGATAATGTTAGCGTAGTCCAAATCAGCAGCATAGTCCAACTCTGTAGCTGTTAAATATTTTTAACCTGGGTAAGCGGTGATGTTTCACCACACTATTTAATATATCAAGAACAAAAAACAATATGAGAACATACACCAATCCTCAATAAATAATTCAGTTTATTATGAAAAAAGGTACATTAAACAATTCTTCCACTAAACAATAATAGTAGGCAATGATAACGTAATGGTTGGATATTATTCTACGAACAACACAAATGGTTTTGATAAGTTGGCGCACTAAACAGAATTCACTTGGTGAGCACAGTCGTGTATTTCACACTGACTTCAAACATGGCTCAGCCAAAACACTCTTCTTCATTGACTCAGGAGAGGTACAATTTTACTGCTCTGTCATGATTTCAAAGAAAATTGGAGTCATCAAAATAAACACAACCTCAGTTTGGGATTCCCTATAAATCTCTGTAGGGATTCGTTATCATTTCAGGATGCTTTCACTTTCAGTTTTTTTGTTTTGCCTTCACTTTTGAAGTGGATACAAGTGATGTTTAATACCATATTGGCATGTTCCGCAATTGTTTATGAAATATTTTTTCAGCGTTTAAATTGTTGCTGTTTGCCTAGCATTACTTCTGCTTTTCTTAGAATCTTTGAGGTAGCATGTACATTGTTCTTTCATTTATGTTACCTCATTAACATATCAATTTTGATTGGCTTTTATGTTAGACACACATATAAAAACTACCACAGCAGTAAAGGAGAGACTGGGAGGCTAATTACTGCCATGCCGATGAATGAATGAATGAATGAATGAATGAATGAATGAATGAATGAATGAATGGGACATATGAATAGAACTTGCTTTTGCTGACTTATTTCTATGAATCTGGCCCACTACTGCTCTGTGATGGTGATCTTCACAGTGTCTTCTCCTGTCATATGTAGAGCATAACTAGACATACTACCAGATGTATACCTGTATGTCTTCGATAGTGTGATGGAACTCTAAAATGAAGTACATTGTGGTCACTAACCACCTTTTCTTTAGTTTTGTGGTATATAACTATAGCATAACTATACACAGTGTATAACCCTGCCTCTCTCACACATTTATACAGTGAGTATGGTCTATTTAAACCTTTCAGTTTGTCACTCTGCCACAAGAAGGGCCCCCAAAAAATATTGTACTTTGCATTAAACATGTGTATATATGGTGAGTCAGTGCTCACACTAAATGTATTTCAAATAAACAAGACATCAAATCATAAATGCATTTTCACAATGTATCAGTACCTACAACACTTGATTTTGCCATGTTAAAGGTTCATTTTCTAATACTTCAAAGGTAGATATTGGAATACAAATTCATTTCAAAAGTATTTTGGCTATTTTCATACATTTTCTAATGTGTTTGATAAATACATTTACATACATTTCTATGGTGCAATTCTGTGTGTAATAATAAATGCATTTTAAGATATATTTGGTAAATATGGCAATATATTCTGAAATGCATTTTAGTGTTTATATTATATTTCAGCATGGATTGAAATGCATTTGAAATGTATTTCAAATATATAAAAATATATGTCAATATATTGTTTTTCCATATGGGTCCACTGATTACCTGTTGTCTGTTCAGAGCCTTTATTTCTGTTCCGTTTCTCTTGTTTTCTGTCACCAAATTTATTATCATTTTTGGGACATTTTTTTTTACTGCTCTTTTGTGCCTGTATGCTACTGTTTTTTTTCCCCTGCTCATTTCTTGTCTACTCTTTGGAATTTTGGACTTTATTTGATAAACTCTCGGCATCAGCTGTCTTGTTCTAGTAATGTGATTACAGTAGGGTTTTTTGTATCAAAAATTAAAACAATGTTAAAACATTGATTAAAACATTGTAAAACAATACCACAAATACTGCTACACACAATCTTAAACAATATTCAGTTACTGTTTTCAGCGTGTGGATTGAAATATTTTGCCAGCCCACATAACTTCTCAAGTGTATTGTGTGTAAGAGGAAAGCAGAGCGTAGTGAGCAACATGTGCAGTAAAATCATCAGTAGAAACATTAGTGCACTTTATAGCAGACTCTAACTGACATCCCATCAAGTATTAATGCCATATTTTTGCATCGTGTCCATCACAGTGCTCTGTCACTTCCGAGAAAACCCTCCTCTTCTAAATGTGCTAGTAAACCATTTACTCAAAGTTTGTACATGTGAAGTAGGTAAACAACTGAACATTTCCAGTAAGTAAACAGTCTGAGGATAACATTGTGTGTTTTTGTACTTGAAAAGAATTAGAGGGTAATTTTTACATTATTGAAACTCCAAATATCACAGTGGTCATATGCCTTCATTCACGCACACATTTAACATGTGTTATGATATATACACTATTAATATATGCACTTCTAAAGGTCACATCATTTAGCTGATTTTTAGAAAGTAACTTACTTAAAAAAACAGTTATAGTAAATAATGTAGCTGATGTAGATCTGCAAGCTGGGCTTCTGCTGCATTTTGGCTTCCAGTTGCTGCAGATTTCTCACACAATAGGTAAATGAACCAACTTGGAAGAACAGCAGCGTGTCAGTGACAGCACTTCATTTGAAAAAGACTGCTTAAAGTCTTTGTGAAACAGTTGTAATGCATGCATATGTTGCTCATAATGCCCACAGTCATATGCAGAAGTTTGGGCACCCCCGGTCAAATGACATGTTTCTGTTGATCTTCTAAGTAAAAATAACACATCTTTAACAGAGAAAATGGTTTTGGACTCTGAATGACAACCTCCCACATATGGATATATTTTTGTTTATGGAATCAGTTTTCAGTCCAGCCAAATGTTATTGCTTTAAGGGTTAATCATTGACGAGAAGCTCCTGTGGGTTGAGTGATCTTTCAAACAGGCAGCTGAGCTTCTTGACCTGTTGCTGGTGACCAGACTTCATCATGGTTGTCAGCAGGATTCACATTAGTAAAAGGCTACTGTTAGCCTACTTCCTCTTTCTCTGTGTCTATGGACAAACTTCAGGACCGTAAGTAACACCAAAAGATGATGCTTTATTTGTGTCAACCTGTAATATAATCATTCAGTAATTATGAAAACATGCTTTCTGTTCAATACAATTTACTCAGCTTCAGATCAGGTGTTTATGCTGTAGCAAAAATAAATACATAAACAAATTGTGTGTTTAATATTGTCATCAGACTCCATTTATTCGCAGTGGTCTAGTTCAGGGCTCAGGACATCAGAGCTGCTGTACGATAACTTACAAGGCTATATCAAAGGATGTATGTATTTTGGATTTGTGAAAATGTTCATTACAGAGAAAGCCCTGAGACAAATAACAAAATCATTTCTTTTTATGTGTTTTAAGCTGCATTCTAAAACCTGACGTATATTAGAACCTAAACCGATAATTTCTGTAATTTTAGTAGGAGATTCAAATGACTGGTTTGCATTCATCAGACCTTTTAATGCTTTCAGAACTTGGAGTTCATGGCCAGTTGGACCTTTAAAAAAAGGTCTAACATAGTGCTTTTGATGTCATGTTGCAGCTTTAGATCTTTCACAGATGATGTTGAAGCCTCTTTTTGATGTTTTATAGTAAAAGCTGGGGTTTTCCAAAGTGTAGGAGAGATTACACAACCATGATATTGATCACACATTGCATTGTTGGGGCTCTTTATTTTCAGGTCATCTCAGTCCACACTTTTGCAATAGTATTCACTGTTGATCAGCCACAACGTGTCGATCCCAAATTTTTCTTCTTTAGTTTAAAGCTGAAGCAGTGTGGCATTTCTAGAAAACTATAGAACTCAATAGTCAAACAAAGAGCCCAAATAGTTTCTGTAAAAGTGCTTTACAGAACAGTGGCGTGTACAGACTCCGATGAGGGCGGGGTTTAAGGTTTCAAAAGGGCATTTATACCCGTGCACATCAGGACTTTTTCAGTATTTGAAGATATCAGTGTAGATAAAAGTAATCTAATGTGGTATTGTGTAGGCAGATCTGATTTTAAGTCAACTTCAGTGTCAGATGCAATTCTAATAAATATCCTGTTAAATGAAGTCACAATGTAATATGCAAACAGTTTAGGCAACCAAGTATCATTTAGCTCATTAGTAAAGATTATTATTGTTGTTGTTTTTCTCACTTATTATTCAAAAACAAAAAACTATGCACTCTACATTAATATTTTCTGCCTGTTTTTTTGCAGCCAGCTTGTGAAAGGTGCTGGTAACTTGACTGTAAATATCTACATTTTTTTAAAAAAATCCTACAATGTATGTGACTTGATGATCATTAACCAAAGTTAGATTTAAGAAAAAAAAATGCTAAAATGTAACTAAAAGCTATAGATGAGTATGCTGTTTGCAAACATTACTGAGTGTGTGATGCCAGGGGGCAAAACTGCTTTGGTAACTTAGCCAGTCAAGCCAGTGTAACGTTAGTCAACTATTGTAATCAACATAGATTTCACATTGTAAGTTCTTGTTGACCCAATAATAAAATGTAATTTCTGAGTTGAATCTCTTTGTCTTCGAATGCGACATTAATATATGGCATTATGTAAAACATAGCTATCAGTAGTTGACTGTCAGTATTGGCTAGTGATCAGGCTTCTAAGAACGCCCCACAAGTTTGCTATTCGCTTCCTGCTTATGTTAATCCCATCTTGTAGGATCCTACTGTAAGTCATTAACTTCATTTAGGACAGCGCAATAGCTAGCAGGTGCATAAAAGGCTAAAACATTAGCTGACCCTCTGACATCAAGGCTCACAGTGTTTTGCCGCAACAGTCCTTTACAGGCTTGGTGAACATAAGACATTTCTCCACTAGCTATAAGTTACGGATATAACGTTAGTGCTGCTGAGTTCAACATTATCTGCAAGAACATGATTAAACAGCTTGTTCTGCACTCGCACTCTATTATCCTGCAGGGGAGGTGGAAACATGTAGGCAAGGTCACTCCGACTGGAGCTTTTAGAACAGACTGGAAATTTTAGAACATTTATCTACAATAAAATTTGTATTCATTTTCACACACTATACATATTAGTGTGTGAAAATGAATACAAATTTTATTGTAGATAAATGTTCTAAAATTCTTAAAATACATATATATCAAATATAACTAATGCCTTTTGCACAGCATATTTCTACTATTACAGCAACAATTTAAATATTTAAAACCATATTGACAGGCACTTTAAAGTTGCACAGACTTGATGTGGTTTAGGACAGTAGAGGTTAGAAGTTGTAAATGATGTATTTTAACAGAAACAATTTGGGCAGTTATTGAGTTCTAATATTTGTTAGCGACATTAGCCTCATAGCTCCAATAACTATGACTCCAAACTACTACTAAGTGGAAAATTGGCTGCTTTTTTTTTGTTTTGTTTTGTTTTTTTTTAACTAAACTATTCCTTTAAATAACCTTATACATAACTCAAAACTGGTGTTAATCTTAAAATTACTGCTTTTTGCCTTTAGGTATTACATGGTGGCGTTTCCTGCAGTGATAGAGTCTGGATCTGAGGCTACACTGTGTACGAGTCTTCTGAAGCCTAATGAGACTCTGCTAATGACCATTTACCTGCTTCACAACAAACAGAGCAGAACACTTCTACAGGAGAGAGTGGAGGAAGAATTTCACCACTGCTCTCAGTTTAAGGTCAGAAACCAATATTATTATTCTTATTATTATTAGAGTTTGATGTGATGAACATGGAAAATATCTCAACAAATTACCTCTACAGGCTCCACAGGTTGAGGGTGAATCAGTGCAGGAGATCAGAGTAGAAGTCAGAGGTAAAAGTTTTAAGATGACAGAGAAAAGTTATGTTTAAATCCTACAACCCACTGACATTCATTCAGACTGATAAACCAATCTACAACCCCAGCCAAACAGGTACTTCATCATTACTGCAATATGTTTCACCTTTTCCAGTACACGGTTTAATGGCAAAGTTATTATTACTGAACATACAGCTGAGAATATGATATGATATTTCTTTATTATTGTCCTTTCAAACAGTGCATTTCAGAGTTGTCACTATGGATACAAATTTTGTCCACCTTAAACAAGAGGTAAGAGCTTTTCTTTGACTGTCACTGTGAACCAGTGTTAAAGAAATAGTCATACAATATATGAATGAATTATGAAAGTGTGATTAAGGCTGATTTAGTTGACTTATATATTTCCATCTATTTGTACAAGATGCCTCTCTAATGCTGTTTTTGTAAAAACCCATGTCTTTTAAATTAACGAACAGTTTTTAGTTGTTGATGTGTTAAATGCTTTGAGAGATTTCTGTTATATTATGCAAAATGACTTTATTAATCAAAATGACACAAATTTGGTCCTATTGTCTTTCACAGTACAGCTTATTGGCTGTTGAGGTAAGGAGATGGAAGCACATCTTCATTTTAAAACTCTTAATGATTAACATCTGTAATCCTTTTTGTGCCTCATAATATTGTCACTGCAATAAATGGAACCAAACAGGATAATAAAGGTAACAGGATTGGTCAGTGGACAAATGTGTCCTCAACAGGCCTGATAGTGCAGCTTTCTCATGAACTGAATCCTGAGGCTCCTGAGGGCCATTATAAACTGGAGGCTCACATTGGGAATAGAGAGACCAGACATTACTTTAAGGTGAAGAAGTACAGTAAGTGACAGCGCTAGAACATTAGCTTTTCTGTTGGTAATAATCAGCGCAATTTACTGTAATAACAGATTCCATCTGTCTTTTAGTTTTACCCAGGTTTGAGGTTACAGTGAAAACACCAGAGCAACAGAGTGTTGGAGAGGAGGAACTGAAGATAGAGCTTTGTGCAAAGTGAGTCACTGTACAATGCAATGCTATTTTCGTACAACCAAACAGAACATGTGTAATTTCTGCATGTAGACTATGTGATATAAAGAAAATGCAATACAAATGCCATTGCACGCCTTTAACCCATTCTTTATCTGCTTATTTTTGAAGGTACACTTATGGACAGCCAGTACCTGGTAAAGCACTGGTGGAGGTGTGCAGAAAATTTATACAGGAGGTTGTCCCTAAGATCTCACCATGCCTGGAGGAAACAGTGCAAGTATGTATGTGTGTATGATATAGGGGTTGCATAGACTAGTTGGCTAATTAATCCACTGTAAGCCCCACAAGGCTACACTGAAATATAAGCTTATAAGACAGACTGTGTAGGTTAAGAGAACTGCTGTCTCTGATACAGTTAACAAAACAAGCACAGTGTAAACAAACTCGAAGTACCATCATGGGTTTCTCTAAGAGGTCATTTGAAGAAATGTAATTTTCTGCAGTGCTTCTTTATCTAATGAGCTCCTAGAGAGAAAAGTGCTAGATAATTTTATTTGTGCATTAACTGCATTCGTTTTTGGGGTTTTGCTCTGTAGATGAATGAGACTGGCTGTGCCTCTGCTGTCTTCAACATGTCAGCTTTCACTAGTCCTGAATTTGAACATGATTTACAAAGTAATCTTGATGCTGCTGTTACAGTGACAGAGGAAGGAACAGGTGAGATGAGAACAGATCTCTCTGAAATAAACAGTCTATCTACTTTTAAACTTAATCAGGTTATCACATTGAAAAGAAATGTATAAGGATATTTCAGTCATATATAACAAGTAATGCATTTGTATCACTTTATTATTTTCTAGACATTTCCATCATAAAATCCAAACACATAGAGCTCTCTGATGTAATTTGTAAAGTTGAGTTTTTTGATTTACCAAAAAACTTTGAACATGGATTGACCAACTTCAAAATTAATACGTCTGATCACCCTTAAACAGAGATTTGACTGCTGGTATGGTATGATGACCAAATATTTTCAAAGAATGTGTCTATGCTGTTATTTACTGAAACAAAACCCTGTCTCACTGTTTTCAAGGCAAGTGTCTATCCAGATGGTCTATTTCACAGATACGGAAGACCTTACCTTACAAACAATGAAGCAAATATACCACTGCTCCAACCTGCTACACCTTAAGAGAGCTTAAAAGAACCGATTCCATGTGGTACTGAAATTTCCATAAACATTAAGTACAACATTGTTGGGGAAACCTCTGAGAATTACAGCACTGATATTATATACATGGTAAGGACACACAGTAATTTTGTAATGTAAATATTAACATTTCCTCTATTTAGACAGTTTTAAATGAAATGTAGTTGATTCTTTGTCAGTAAGATGTTTTTGGCTCTTTGGTGCAGGTCTTGTCTAAAGGAGCCATAGTCCATCACGGATATGAGAAAGTTGAAGTGAAAGAATCCAAAAAGCTCATAGAGGGAAAAGTCTCATTCAGACTGTCTGTTGATGCTGATCTGGCTCCTGTAGTTCAGGTTCTGGTGTACTGTGTGCTGCCCAGTGAGAACGTCATCGCTGCTAGCAAGGATTTTGATGTGGAAAAATGCTTCAGAAACAAGGTAATGCTGACACATTTGGATCTTTATATCTTTGTTTTTATATTTTAGGATAATTGGTGGCTTGCAATCTGTCATCATTACTGTGGAAAAAGCAATATAAACTTGTTTCCATTATGATCTTCAGGTCTCACCTGAACGCAGTTCTCTCCCACTGAGGCAGTTCCTGGTGAGGAAAACACTCTCCAGCTCTCAGCTCTGCCTGGTTCACTGTGTGGACTCAGTGCTGTGTGAGTGTTTTCATTATGGAACCAGGAAAGCCCCTCAATGCTGATGAGGTGAAGTTGACATTTTTTAATATACAACACATACGTGGGTGCTTATTTAAAATGTGAATTAAACAGTGAAATAGATTTTTTCTTTTTTTTTCTGAGTCAACAGGTTTGATTAAAATGCAAAACTTGTACACATAGTGTTGGGTGGTATCCACTTCTTTAATACCTTCAGACCGTCTCTGAATATTACTGTAGTATGCTGGGTATTGAAAGTAATGGATGTGAAAGCACTTATAATGCATTTTGCTCTCATCTTACATTAATTCAAAATTGATAAAAAAAAGAGTAGGTTTACGTAGTCAATAAATAGATGAATGCAATGCACAATTTTTAAGGTATCATTCAATAAATATCAAACCATTTATCTAAGAATTGATAAATGTTAAACAGTGCTGCTAATGAGATGAGAGGAGCTGGTTAGCATTAGTTTAGCTAGCATGATAACAGCTCTGCTCACCACAGAACATGTTCTGGGTAACTAAAACATCAACCCAAGTTTAGATGATTAAAAATTATGATTAATATGTGAGGGGGTGAAGTCAAGCCATCATTGAAGGAACAGAAAGATGAAATCAACCCTGTTTCATGGTGTTTGGATCCATAACATGATCGGCTACCCTAATGTTAGCTTAGCAGGATACAGACCAAAACACACCACAGTACAGGCTGACTCTGAAAATTGGTGCTCTGTTGACACAAATTTAGATGATAAAAACTAATATTTGAAACAGCAAAAGTCAAGTGACGTTGTGATCTTGGGGTGACCTGTACTGGTATTTAGGACTGTAGTGTTTTGACTAAGCTTATCAGGCCAAATGTGCCACAGCATAGACTTAGTTCTAACTAACTGATGCTAAGATGACCCCCTTTTAGAAGATATGACACCCATTTAGAGGATATCACTAAATTAAGTGACTTTTGTTAGAGTGAAAGCTGAAATTGACCATGTGTACAGAAAATGTGCAGTTCTGACATGTGTGGCACTTTGCCATGGCTGAGCTGCTATCATGCTTAGTTTTTCTTAGTATTTTCCTGGCTTAGATTCTACCCCTCTCTCTTTCAGTGCCACCTATAGCTGACCTCCCAAACTTCTAATCAATGAGCCTCTCTAAAATATAAATGGGTGGAATGAGTTTATTTATATTCAAACGTGAGAGAGAAATCTGACAGGTAATAATTTACAAATACTGTCATAATTTTTTAAATATTGGCAACATTTTTACATACCGCGGTATACCTTATTACCATTATACCACCCAGTGTTTAATCAGGCTAATACTACTATTACTACACATAGCAGTAACTAAAACACAGGTAGGCAGAGTTACAACAAACCAGTAGAGAAAAAAACTGTAAATGTGAAAATAGAAGAAAAAAAGGAAACAGCAATGAACTTGGAACTTGGAGGGCATACTTAACAGCAACAGACAATGGAGTTATACGAGTGCTTATTAGTCCAAGGAATGATGTGAAAGAATGTAGATGAGATGAAATGAGTTGTATCAACACAGAACCAGTAAAGACAGCAAGAGTTCATATGCAGTCATTTATCACCTCTATTCCTTTTCCAGATGGATAAAGACTTGTTGATTCAGCGAGTTGAATAGATGCCTGGCGAACAATTCCAGAATTATTTCTGAAGTATGAAAGGCAGAATTTATTTAATTCTTCAAAACATTTGCAATTTTAGTGCAATGTTACAAGCAACTACAACACAAGCAATCAGGACTGAAAAAATACAAAGCCACATGAGAACGCTACAGTTAAAATTGTGATTTTAACAAGTTTAATTATATCTTCCATAGGTTTTTTATTTGTCGCCAGTGACAACAGTGACGGATTATGACTATGCAGTTACAGATGAGCTGGAGTGTCTGCAAGTTAGACCACAATGAAGTGCAAATGAAGACCATGTTTACAATACCCTAAAGGTAACAGGTTGACTGGACAAATATTTTTGTGCGGAGCTGGTCCTGACCCTTCTGGGTCCCTAAACAAAATTCTGCTAAGGGACCCTCCTACCTGACCTGTGAGCAAAAAACAGTTTGCTCTAACTAAAACAGTTTGCTCCAACTTGTTGGTCTAAGAATAAGTAGACATGTAATACTGTTATTAATTTTATCAGCTGCATCTGGCCTATTCAAACATTCAAATGCTCAGATTTCCTTTTGTATACTTTCACATATAAAATACTATATATACTTTAGCTTGGCTGAATACTTTGTGGTTATTATTTACTGGGAGATCTGCATTCATATTGGCCAGTATGCTCAGCTAATCAACAGTTTAAATTCAATATTTAGTCAATAGTCAATTTCAGTCCATTACTTTCCATTTTGCATTTGTCCAGAGATGTAACTAAACCTTGACTGACAGACTAGATAATCACTGTCTTGTTTTAAAGTGAAGAGTGCCTATATACATCCATACAGTGTCTGGACTGGACTGGCTGTTGCTGCAAAACACGAGTTTTATTTAGTGCACGCGCAACAGAGTTATTTTCTAAGCTGCAGTTTGTAAACACTGTTGCCGGAGGTGTCCATCAAATGTAATAAGTAGTTGTATTTCACCCTCAGTCACAGAACAGAACACAGCCTTGGCTGGCAAGGAAGCAAAACACAAACAGACCAAGATATGCACTACCCAGCTTCAGGTTAGTGAGACAGACTAGAAAGATGTGCTGCCCGGCTAGCATATCAACATTTATTTGTTAAACATTACTGTTATTTGCTGACATCAAACTTGGAGAGGCGAGAAGCTTACCTGATTGCTGTTTCTGCAGTTCACAAAGCAGGATTTCTCAGTTTGCCAGATAATTTAAGCCCAACGAGAAAGACTGTCCAATAAGACTGTCCCTCAGCTCTTTTCCTGTTGGACAGGCTTGACTTTGGGCATTATCTGGCTAAACGGAGAAATCTTATCTTGTGAAATACCCCGCAGATGAATACTTGGATAAGTTGTGAACAATAAGGAGCCTTGACACAAGGGAGAGCCATATGCAACCTGCATAGTGAGTGTAGAAGAGGGCAGAAGGGATCTAGTATTGTGTAAATATATGTGTATGGATGCTTTTACACTAGACATTCATAAAATCTAAACAGAAAGAAAATCATTAAATGTTGAGTTTCTGTCCAAAAAATCCATTTGTAAAAATTTGGGACGCAAGTTTCCGAAAAGTACAACAGCTGACGTAATGGAAAACCATTAGGTACCAAAAGGTAGGAGAAAGTGCCCTGAGGAACCTCGCCATCTCTAGCAAACTGCCTGCACTGTGCACCTGCAGCCACATTGTCTCAAACTTATGACATTTAATTAGCCTGCGACTATGATGTTTTAGTTGTACATCTTTGTTAATATTGATATTGGTTATAATACGGACCACTACAGGGTGCTTCACGGCCCACTGGTGGTCCATGGCCCACAGGTTGAGAAACCCTGCTCTAGTGGATGTATTGCTTAACGTCCATGCCACTGCAAAGGACGAATGGACGTACGTGGGCAGTGACCGCTACATTGTTTGAAACAGACATATTTATTTTCGTACATAAAGGGAGTGTTAATGAGCCTTTACTGTCACTGACTGCTGTTAGAGACTTTTCACAATGTGAAAGAAGAATGCCTACTTAATTCAAATGTGTACATTGGCTCTACGGAACATGCAGCAGTTTTGTGGCATTTGAGATTAATTATAGGTTTCTTTGCAAAGATAAAATCCACACACTTGTATGCAGACAACTCTTTGGATTGCCATCATGGAGTTTCACTAAACCAGTATAAAGGAAAGGATTAATAATGAACCATTAATAGTGTAAAAAATAGCATAAAAAAAAACGAAACATATCGTTCAACATGAGTTGAATATCAGTCTCTGAACTGAATGAAAAGCTTCCTACATTCCTACAACACAAGCTCCACCCACGCTCCTCTGCTGAAAGGGAATGAGTCACGCCATTTTCAAGTAATCCCTCAAACTGATATTTTCCAGGTCCATCCTGCTTTAATTTTATAAATGACTTACATGCTGGCTAGAATGGTGGAGGTGTAGCTGCTCTATTTCAGGATTCTTGGGTTATCATTGGGTTTCACATCCTTTCAGTATCTTTATGCGGTTCTGAAAGGGGCACCAAGAATATTAATAGTGATTGTCTACAGGCCTCTGAAGTACAATACAAATTTTATTGATGAATTTACAGATGTGTTATTGTTTATTTCCACTGATTTTAATCATTTTCCTATTGCTTGTGATTTTAACATCATATGTTTGACAATTCTAATGATGATTATGTAGAGGAATACTGTGCTGTATTGGACTCTTTTGGACTCTCTGAGCATGTGATCAAGAGCACACAGGGTCACAACTCTGGATGTAGAGTTCTCAAAAGGTCCAAATATCAG